TTTTAAGCTACTACATCACAAAAGGGTTATCAGTTATGCTAGCAGGTTGCTATCCAATGCCAAAGCCAACTATTCTACAACAGAAAAGAAGTGCCTTGCCATTATCTGGGCAGTGTCAAAGTTGCACCTCTACCTCTACGGCAGACCTTTCAACGTTGCTAGCGACCACCACGCCTTGTGTTGGCTAGCTAAGCTGAAAGATCCTTTGGGTCGCCTCGCACGTTGGAGTCTCAGATTTTGAGAATTTGACGTGACTGTTCTTTACAAGTCTGGAAGAAAACACTCCAACGCCGACTGCTTGTCTGTGCCCCCGTCGAACCACCGGCGCCCGACGGCCTGGATGAGCACAGCTTCTTAGGAACAATAACTACTGACGACTTCGCCGCGCAACAGTGAGCTGACCCGGAACTCAGAAGCCTTGTAGAATACATCAAAGGTAACAGCCCGACTGTTCTGAATGTTTCCAAGAGAGGACTGGAGTCGTTATTTTTGCGAAACAGAGTTCTCTTAAAGAACTTCTCGCCTCTTCAAGCCGACCACCCCCTCGTGGTTCCTTCAGCAGTGAGACCAGAAGTACTTGAGGCCCTACACGACAACCTGATGGCAGGACACCTTGGTGTTTCTCACACGCTCGCGAGGATATAAGAAAGGTACTATAAGGTCAGGCCTTACCCCCAACGTCGCTCTTTACGTGAGGACATGCCGAGACTGTTAGCGACGCAAGACACCACCGAAAAAGGCCAGTAAGTTTTCTTTGCTCGATCAAACCACTTCACCGACCGTTGCAACTAATCGGGATAGACCTACTGGGGCCATTTCCGACGTCGAATTTCGGAAACAAATGGATCGTCGTAGCTCCCGACTACCTTACCTGCTACGCCGAGACAAGAGCCCTGCCCAAGGGTAGTGCATCTGAGGTAGCCAAATTCTTCGTCGAAAACATCGTCCTGCGTCACAGTGCTCCGGAGGTCCTCATCACCGACAGAGGTACGGCGTTTACTGCTGAGATAACCCAAGCGATTTTGGCATACGGCCAGACAAGCCACCACCGTATGACAGTGCACCACCCATACACCAATCGCCTCGCTGAGCGCCTAAACAAGACCATCGCGGACATGCTGACCATGTACATTGACGTCGAGCACAAAACATGGGATGCCATCCTTTCGTACGTGTCGTTCGCATGTAACACTGCCGTACAAGAAACGACACAGATGATGCCGTACAAATTGGTCTACGCAAGGACCCTGGCAACGACACTTAACGCTATGTTACCCAACGTCACTGACGAAGAAAACCTCGATGTGAGCGAGTACCTTCAGCGCGCCAAAGAAGCCCGACAACTCACCCGCCTCCTATCAAGAACCAACAGATGATGGATTGCCCCCGTTACAATCTTCGGCAACGCTTCGTGGAATACCAGCCCGGAGAACGTGTTTGGGTATGGACACTGATGCGCCGACGTGGACTCAGTGAGAAATTTCTGCAACAATAATTTGGACCATACCGGGTAATTCAACATCTCGGCCCACTCGATTACAAGGTTGTCCCCGACGGCATCACGAACTTTCAACGACAATCAATCGCGACCTAAAGTCGTCCATGCCGCGCGCCTCGAGCCGTTTCGCGCGCGTTAACGGACTGAAACAGTGTATTTTGTTGTTCTTATTGCTCTATCGTAATTTATTGCTTGTTGTTTCTTACATTATTTTTTGTACTTTCACATTTGGCTAAAGCATCGGGACGATGCCTTTTTCAGTGGGGGCCAATGCCACGTTTCTTTTCTCATGTTTTGTTATCGCCCTGTTACACTATCTTCAGTGCAAACTGCGCCTAGGGTGTTAAAAAAGCTTCGAGGCAGCGCTAGATCGTTTTGTTAAGGTTACGCCCACTTCGTGAACCTTTCGGATTATTCTGGAACCTAGGTCGCTGCTAGCGATAATGCTAGAATGTTCGATGGCAAGTGTATAAATGCCGACATGCTTTGCCGCTTGTCAGTTTATCGACGGCCGATGCTCTGTTCGCCACTATCAGTGCCAGTGTCTTACTTTCCTTTTGCTTGGCCACAAGTTCAGCCCGAATATACAGTTTCTTCTTCGACGTGGAATCTACTCCCTTCGTTCATGTCACAACACCAAGACAATATAAATATATATATATATATATATATATATATATATATATATATATATATATATATATATATATATATAAGGGAACTAAGTGTACGTTTAAGGGCTCGTTTTTCTGTGTTTTGACACAGTAATAATGAGATCTAACAGACAATAATGCCAAGGAATGCATAGGGGAAGTTATTAGACCAATTTTATTGTAAATTCGAAGAAAGAAAATGAGCTGAAAAGATAACTTGCTGTGAGCAGCAACCGAGCTTGCGACCTTCGAATAACGCGTTATCTTCGGCAATTCAGGCCATCTGGTGTTTGGTAACGCCCACAGTACAGGGACATTTTTACAGCTCACAGTTCTTGCCTGTCTGCTCTAATGACCACTACAAATTGCAAGGGTAGAGCATGTTTGTATTTCAATTTTGTTTCTTGTTTTTTGTTTTCTTTTCTTTTTTTTCCCTCTTTGAAAGACCGTGAGAATGACGTCTTGGTGAGAGCACGGCGCAAAACATGCAATTTCTGCTAAAATGCAGCAGGATGTAGCAGGTCTCACCTCTTGGCTCAGCCTCGCACAATTGGTACAGTCATCACATCACTCGTTACAATGACAGCATGCCCTAAAAAGTGTTATTGCATAATAAAAAAATCTGCAAATAATTAATCCAGGGAGCATCAGATGGCAGCAAAATACTTCGCAATGAGCAAAATAATGAATAATTTAAGTGTATCTCGCTGATCCTCGAACTAAGTTTCTAGAAGAATCATACAGGACAGCAAGAAATAAGGAATCTGGGGTATAAAAAACAATACTACCAGTAAAATTTATTATTTTAAAAAAATATACATTTGAATATATTTCACATTTTACATTATGAACCATAATTCTTGACAGAAACTTCAGCTGGAAACTCCACAAAGACTCATGATAATGCTTTGCGAGAATCAATAACAGGGAGCAGGCAAAGCAAAATAAACAGCAAATAAAACTGAATAGAGCGCAGACAACAGTGTATTACCGGTTCATGCTAATAAAATAATAATAACTCAGTAAACAGAGTTACAAATGTGATAACTTCTGAACACATTCCTTCGGCATTAAATCATTGAAGTGCTACATACAGACTCATGTACAAAACTTTTATTGGCTGATTGTGTCGACCTGTAACTCAGACAGAGCAGATAGACGCATAGATGCTGAAATGAAAGTGAACCTCGTGGGTAATAAATTCATTTTGATTGAACTTCATTTAGAAGCGTACTGTTTCAAATCTCACTTTGCTGAAGGCACTACCTTGCGGTGTGACGCATTCAATGTGCCACTTTCAGCAAGCCAAATATAAAATGACCTTTTTTTTGCTCGAACTGAATACAAGTGAAAATGAACTTACAGCCCATTTCCAGCTTGAAATTTCCAGAAAACAAAATGTGAATCATTACTGCATAAATACCAATGAAAATAAAATTTATTTAAATACTAATTACAATGAAACTTACAAATGACATGTTTTGTAAATGTGATGCATTTACAGGCAGTTACCCCATATACTCAACTGTAATGCAACCCCAATTCTAATGCGAAGGTTGAATTTTGATTGTGGCCAAAAAGATAGTTTTTTTGGTAATCTAATATAATTCACCGGTCAACTTTAGGTAGCGAAAATATGGAAAGAAAACTCGCCTAACATTCAAGTAAACACAGTACTTATAGGTGACACTTAAAGGGTTAAAGAAATGCTACCTGGGTATAAAAATATGCTTTAAAACTTTACCAAACCGCACAGCAAAAGAATTTACATTAAACGATTAAACTTTTTTGCCAACATAAAAGAAAATGCATTGCAAGAGATTGTATAATGTAATAAATTTGAAGATATGTCTCACTTTTAAAGAGTGCTTAACAGCGCAAACGACAAGAGGGAATAGAAGAGACGAGACAGAGCTGTGACAGAGCACCTTCGTTTGCGCTGTTAAGAACTCTTTATCATGTTATACCAGCACGCCCAATCCTATTATCTCACTTTCAAAATAGCACCAATAGATGCAACTCCAAACAACTCTAAAATATCCTAAATATGGCAAAGATAAGATAAATTACAGTAAAGATTTCATTCTTTATCATGACCATCATCTTCAAAATAAATTTTATGCAAGACATGATCAACACAGGAATGTAAAATGAAATTATTACATTTGAAACTAATGCAATTAAAGTTATAGTAGCACCTTAATTACAAGTGAAATAAATATGCTGTGCTGCGAGTAGAATGCATACAATGTAGCACAGAAAACATGCCCAGAAACACAACTTTTTTACAGTAAGAACAGCTTTGATTTCATATCTTTTTCAGAAAGTAACCTGTAAAAATGTGTGCCCAGCAACAACTTAGCTACATTGTCATCTAGCCTCTGGCCATTGCTTGAAACTAAAATTATGTATATATTCATTATTTCATCAGTGATTTGAATTTGACAATGCATTCAAATGTACAAAGCGATAACTTGAGCCAGATTATTGGTTCAGCTAGGTGGTGACGCATTGCAGGATGCTCAATGGTCAATAGAAATTCGTGAAATGATGTGATGATGATAATGATGATGGTTATAATGCCACTATTTTAGTATGAATACCTTGTCTCAAATGGGCTATCACGGGTGTTTCAGGTAATTAAACTTTCAGGTAGTCTTAGATCATTCAACATTCCAACACAGGCAAATCAGCCGACCTCAGCTTTAAAAGTGGCCACGACAAAGAGGTGGTTGAGAGCTGGCATTGAAGCAAGTAGCAGTGGCAGCGATGGTGTAGACAAGAACATCAAGTACGTCGCCTGCATGCATGAATGAACAGCTTTCTGTAAAAAAATATTGCATGGACTCTTTTTTTTGCAGTACGCAATAAAGATAAAATATGTCTATGGATTGCGAGGATTGGTTCACCAATGAATGCTTCACGTCACGGTATACACAGCCAACACGGACATTGGGGAGCAAAATTAAATAAACTAGTCACACAATTTGAAGAACAGCATTGGCCATGTGCTGCCTGACAGCAATTGTAGCAACGTCAGTGTTCTAGAGGCCACAAGCAGCAATAATTTGAACAAGCCAGTCTGATCTGCCAATGGTCGTGGACCTCACTCCAGTCATCGAGATGAGCCCAGTTGGGCCCAGCACGAAGCCGCACCACGAGAGGAACGGAAAGCTCGGCCGCCTCCTCCATGGACTTGCGCACCATGCCGGACACAGTGTTGAGATCGGCTTCACACACCTCGAGCAAAAGCTCGTCGTGCATTTGAAGGACCAAGGACACCTGCACGGCAATTAGAAAAGTTGGTCATTTTCTGGACAGGTAGCTGAATCAGTAAAAGTTCCATTAAGCAATGACACTCGACTTTGATATAATGAACCTGGATATAACAAGTTATTAGCCATAACAAAGTAAATGAATCTTTTTGTTGTAGATACTACAGTGCTAACAATGTACATGTATAACAAATTTTCTGATATAACAACAAAGTATTTTGATGGCAGATCTAACTTTGCTATAACAAGGTTTGAGTGTAGATTTATTATTGCCCATAATTCACTAGCATAATGAGAAACACCACATGAGACCTTTGACGAAATAATCAGTAAATAAATGCTAATGTGGCAAAGGCACCACTTAGACCACTGGAAAAATGTAAAAATTTACAGCTTTGGAACATAATAGTTAAATCTAATCCTTGCCATGGTGCCCAACAAATCACCCTGCTCTATTTTCTGGCAGTCACAAACGCTGTCTACTATTTTGCACAGATTGGTTAGACCTATGGTTCTGATGTGGGGGTTTGCAAAGACATCTTGAATGTTATGTGAAACCCATGCCCTAAATAAAAAAAAATAAAATAACACATTTTTCGAAGGCAGTCTATGCACCGTGACCACTACCCCTTGTGACTTTTTTTTTTCATGCGTCAGTGCATAACACTTTTCCCTTGCTGTGAAGCTGACTTAGGTTACCTGTTCTGAATGAAAAAGCTGCAGAAAGTTTTTGTTGCAGTTTTTTTATGATGTGAGCATACTTCATTTAGATTTGCATATTTGAAGAGCAAGCTAGAAACAGGCTTAAAGGCACTGCAAACCACATAACTTATTCACAAAAAGTTGAAATTGAATTGGCGTGGCTTTAAAGTTTCACTGGTCTCTGCCAGATAGATACGACACACCTATTTCACATTGCATGTTGAGTTAAATTATGGGGTACTTCCCCATTTCCCCGACTGCAATGGGTGTCCCATAACTTCCATTGGCCCACAAGAAGCCCCCAAGAACGTGCATGGCTGAGAACTACTGGGCTAGAATATGTCATCTTGCTATATGTGCTGCATCTCAGAAGCAATATCTGCAACAACACCAACTAGGACATACGCATTGGACATAGACATCTACTGGTGCCACAGATTAATAAGAACTCCGCTACTGTGAACAGACACCAAGAGTTGCAGGAGCCCTAATGCACCTCTTTACTCTTCTGGTGCCAAGCATACAGCTTGGCTGTTGTGCACCCCAGCCCTGTCAATGAGAAATTTCGATGCCAGATGAAATATGCAACATCAAGTGTGTAGCTGGTGTTGCATATTAACTGCTGCTATCACATAAGACTTAGATTGGTCAAGCTGAACGTCTTACATTGAAGGGGTCATGAGCCAACAAACAGGCTGGATGAGAGAATGCATTCTTCCGTTAACAGACACTGCTATGAGCAGCTCAGCCAAATCTTGAAGTCGCACGCAGCAAAACGTTTAGAAGCACAAAGATATTGTTATTACAGGTGCCCTCCTTTCACTCGGATAGCTGTGCTCACTTTCTTTGGAGCTGCTGGCACCTGCTACCTGATGCCTAACAACTGATAACATCCTATTGGCTAATAGCCAACATAGATCGATGGTGGCATTTGCACAAGATGCGCTTCTTGCTACTGGGTGCTGCGACAAGTCGGCACAGCACTCCATATTCTCTTAACGTTACACAATGAGCCACATCCGCACAGAGGATTCACAATAGGAAAGCGCAACCACATTCATAACTTACACTCAAGGTCATGATGCATGCTCACAGCCCCGTTCCCCGTAGTTATATTTCCCAGCTGAGCTTGCAGTGGCGCATTTATCGCTGTGTCTACCTTGCGGACTGTCCACTTTGGCCTTCACTGACTGACCGGAACTCGATCAACATTGTGCCCCTTCTTTACATTTCATCTTCCGCAATGCCATTTTAATGTCACGAAGCTTTCACAAATTTTGACACAAATGAGAGAGACGAAATGTGTTTCAAAGCAATGAACTCAGTTTTTCCCAGAGAGCTTCTTTCAGACACACATCTCAGAGGTTGTACGTGAAATCTAATCATGTCAGCCCTTCAATTAGGTTAACACAGCTGCCCACCTAACATACCTGGAAGGTTGGTACGCGTTCCCTGCATTGTTCTCGAACACCTGAACTCGTTCATACGTGTGTTCATAGTTGTCAAGTTTAATTAATGTTGAATTCCAATTGCAGAGTCAGAGCAAGTTTTTATGTTCCTGTTGGGGCAGGTGTGTTTCAATGGCAGAGTGAGAGCGGGAGTCAAGTGTTCCAATGAGGGAGACGAAGTAGATTCAGAGCACAAGTGGCTCCGAGGGGCAGAAAAAGTTGCTCAACTGAAATCGGCGGAGTGAACCGAAACTCGCTGTGCCGTGTTCTGGTGACGTTGATGTTACCGGGTGTTTGACCACTATGTGAATTAACCCTAATACCTTTGCCCAGTCGCGTGTTTTCGCAGTAATAGTGGACGACATGGCCGACTGGATAAGTCAATTCATCGCAGAGTGACAGCAAACAACTGTGTACGAAGAATTCGAAAGTGGAATTAGCGGAATGGAATATACTACATGCAAGGTATTCTGGGCAACTCAAGGACTTCTGCTTCTACCTTGCTCCCCATTCGTGCCCTGGTAGTGCTGACTGTGTTCCAGTGACAGATTCGGAGGCATTCCTCTATGCCAGAGTCGCTTGCACAGTCCAGTGGCTGCTCCAACTTTGCCGTTGAAATTCAAGATAGGTGTCCTGTTATTGTACATTTTGTCTACCAGCTTTATCTTTGTGCTGGGAATGCTCTGGCGGGTTCGGTGCGTCGACGCAGTCAATAGCGGCTTGGCATTCTAGCTCAGCGTTTTTTTGACTAACTGAATGCGCTTTGCCGAAGTGGACATGTCCACAAGGTGGACACAGTGAGAATAGCTCCCCAGTATGGTCATCATGCCGATGGAAGAGAGGACGTGTTTGAAGCACTCAACAAATACCAGCAACTCTGCTCATTCTAGTTGAATTTGAGAACCTTTTGTGGCAATCAGTTCGTGAAGCAATTAATACTGTGATCACTCGTTGATTACACAAAAAAGTGGTTCATGATCCCTTCACTCGTAGGCATGCTGTCCCGTAATGTGCACAACACTTTATGATGCACAAGCACAATTTATGGTATAAGCATGCCTGATAATGAGATGAGCTTCCAGAGCAAGGGTAGTGATACGTTTAAACATCCACCCATAGATGTCAATTTTTTTCTTTTATATCAAAACAGCATTCATACAAAAAAAAGTGAGTCACTGTCATCTGTGTATGTTGCATGATTGCAAAAATAAGAAATTACTGAGCAGCAATTTTAATGGTCGATAATTTAAACAGTTATTTGAAAAAACATCTTGTGCACATCCACTTCCAAAAGCTCACGCTTTTGCAAGACAACAAAAATACGCTAGATGTGTTTTCAGGTGTGCCTCAAGGGTCCGTGCTTGGCCCGCTGTTGTTTTTGTTGTACATAAATGATATAAGTACTATTGTAAAGCCACCTGTTAAGATGAAACTTTATGCTGATGATTGTTTGATTTATATGCTTGTAAGCTGTACTGATGATCAACTCGAGTTGAATAAGTGCCTTGAAGATTTGGAATTGTGGTGTTGCGAATGGGAAATGCAAGTTTACTGTAAAAAAACAACATATGTACACATTACCAATAGGCAAAATGTGCTCAATTTTCAGTACAACATCGGGAGGAATAAACTCAGTAAAACGCCCCATTTTAAATACTTAGGGGTGACAATTACAAACAACCTAACTTGGCACCGTCACATTGAATCGGTTTGTTCCGAGTCACTTAAAAAAGTGTGTTTTCTACGAGCAAAGAGGCATAAAACACCGAAACACATAAAGCTGCTTGCATACCACACATATATTAGACCTGGACTGGAATACGCCTCTGTGGTTTGGAGCCCTCACCAGAAACACTTGGTCACCAAGTTAGAATGTATTCAGAGGCGTGCAGCTCGGTTTGTGTGCTCTAGATATAGAAGGCGGGATTCAGTAACTGATATGCTAAATTCATGCAATTTAGAATCACTGGAAATTCGAAGACGGAAACAAAAACTTAAAACATTATTTCGTATAATCCAAGGGATATTCAAAATACCTAAAGACGAGTACATACGCCTTCCCGGAAAACGTAGCACTAGATTGAATCATGATGCCCCCATTGAACCTTTCAGCACTCGCACTGACATCTTTCGGTGGTCATTTTTCCCTGATGCTATAGAACAATGGAATTCTTTACCCCAACATGTTATTAATAGTACCGATGTGCAAACTTTTCACAGAGAAATTGATGCTTATTTTGATAATGGTTGAAGTACTGCCCATTCTGTTTTCCTGTGTTTATTGCTTAGTGGTTTTTTTAGGTGTTCTGTTTGTACTCATATTTTACTCCCTTTCTGTTATGACCCTCAAGCGAGGGTTGACAGTATTAATAAATAAAAAAAAGCTAACTCAGTAGAAAACTTCATAATACGGTAACCAGTTCTTAAACACAGTGTTTTGCAGCACATCAAAACAAACGATTCAAGACTACTGGGAGCTCCGACAGCACCTTACACCAGAACAAGTCTAAATGTTGTCAAAGATTTACGAATAATAAAATTTTATTTCAAATTGAATTTGAATTGTCTAGTGACATATAGTGACCAAAAGTAGGTCTGTGTGCACAAGAAAACATTCAACGTCATGGAGTCGCACCTAAAGTGAATGTTTTAGTAGGTGGAGCCAAAAATAGGCCGAATGGCCATGTTTTTGTTCTGTCATCGCACCTTTCGTAAACACATTTGCACTACCAGCTACAAAACGTACCATGCAAAGGTGGCCCCTCTGGTAGCAGACCCTTTGAGTCGGGAAAGCGTTGTGCGAGGGCATCATCAAGTGAGATGAGTGCTCTTCGGAGCAGGTCTGCGGCTGAGCCCTGCACAGCCGTGCTCAGCACTTGACGCTCGGCCTTGGCCCTATCCCTGTTGCTGCCACTGTGCAAGTCTGCCAGGGGGCGCCTCCTACCCAGCAACGTGCACACCTCGTTTGTGACACGGGCACGCTCCAAAAGTCTGTCGGCACATCGCTGCAAGCCTGTAGTCAGTCAGAACATTTATCACTTCACGTATATTCGCCCAGGAGATACAACAGCTGTGCTGAAATTGAACTTTCTCAATCAAACCCTACAACAATTTTTTTGAGCATGGTCAGAAAACGCTGTCAATCCATAGTACGGTTTCCCGGGAACAGTATAGTGCAACATGCAGCCTAAAATTTACAATTAAGTTTCCAAGAGAGCTGGAAATCACTCACTCTTCTCTTGAAAAATGGTGTCACATAAATCCAAATGACCATGCCATAAACACAAACTTCATGGCCTTCAGGTGATTTAAACATCATTAGCTGCATATTAACAGTGACGAGATGCCAAGATATGCCCATGCTGCACTCTATAGAGCTAGAATCACAAACACTATAGAATTACAGCAGCATGCTTGTAATCACACTGAAAGTAAGCTGCTCATTCAGAGAATATATGTAAAAAAAGTTCTCCAGGTCATGATGGCCACTGACAAATTATTGTAGCTACTTGCTCCTTTGTCCTCCCAACCTGTGTAGCTTCCAGAGCACTTGAGCACTTGCCAGTACGAGATGAGAGAGAAGGCTCTTAAGGAAACAAATCTCCGCAATTCTCTGTGATGATGAGTAAGTATTTATAGCTCAGATATTGATACTAAGTGCAATATTTCAATAGAAAAAATGCAAACATAACACATTCTTGGTAAATTTTTACAGGTTTATGTGGCAGATATATTGCATTAATAGTATTGAGCTTAAAACACTTTACACAAGCTTCTTTACTTGACATGTCAACCAAACTTGGTATAGAAAAAAATAATAGCTTTTAACAGAATCTTTTTCACAAAAAACACTCAGATGACATATTGAGAAGTTCAGAAGTCACCCACAAGAACCAAAAGTTTTTTCTCTATCTGAAATATTCTAGCAATTCACTGTTTTCAATGCACCAAACCAGCACAATTTTTTCGAAAACATTTGAGATATACGCGAAAATTGCTGGGACGTTTGGCATGGAATGACCCATTGGTATACCCAAAGAAGCATTGGCACTCCAGAGGTCAAGCTGCCTCACTCTGAAGTTTTTACATTGTGCATGTCTGCATTAACCTAGTGCAAATATTATAATGCTTCGGATATTCGAATGAATGATAGAGCATTCAAATTGGCTTCAATTCTAGTTTAAATTATTGAACATTTAAAATTATCCGCAATGAACAAATGAATGTGTAATTCGCATGTGTAATCCGCATGTAACCACCTGTAAAGGTGGTTTCACTGCAGTGTAGTTATGCCAAGCCGTAAAAACATCTGTCTACAAAAAAATTCGCTTTGTCGCAAACAGAGTTTAATACCATAATACCTAGAAAGGAATGTGGTGCTAGTGTATACACGGGCTTCTTCAGCAGTGCTTGTACCCCCATGGGAATTATGGGAAGTACAGCCTTCGAATCTGCTTCGAATGTATCGTGTTCTTGAAATTCGTGATGCTTGTTTGCCGAGTGTAAAACAAAACGATATGAAGTTATATTCCAATTAAACTTGCTTCATTCTTTGTGTGTAAATTTTATTGCAAAAATACTTTGTGGATATGCGGTAGAAGTGAAACCAGGACAAATATAAGTGTATGCATTGCTCTGTCGCTGCATTCAAGATTGAACATAAAAATATATTGAATTATTTATTAAACATTTGAAAACAAACATTCTTGTCTTGCCGGTGGATATTATCACGGGCAATATTATCTATTTTTGAAATTAAGAGCATAGTATCAAGTGAGAAACACCTAACGTTTCCTGAACTGCGATAACAGGTGCATCTGTCTAAGTGGGCTGCTGCCAACGCACCTCTCGTTTTGTTGTGAAGTCGAGTCAGAGGAACGTGACGGTACGTCTACTTAGCTTCGCTGTCATTATGCAGTCAATTTGAATGAGTTTTGGCAAGACCCGCTCCCAAAAACACATGAACTCAATGTAATTATCTGAACTGGCATGAGATGCTACATTTTTTGTGCAGCAGTGAATGGACGTCGCTCGCTCTAAACTGTCAAATACGACTCATAAATCTCGGAAGCTGCTGACAATCTCAGACCTAGTGGCCTTCAGCCTCTTTGAACAACAAACACGCCGCTTCGATGCTTTGCACCACATTCCCCTACCCACGCTGCGGAAGAACGAAACTGAAACTGTACAAAAAGATGTGTAGAAAGTTTGCTGGCTAACACAATCCAATCCGAAGCCTGTACTCCCCATGATTCTCATCGGGGTACACGATTGCAGCACCAGATTCTGCTCTAGGTATTATTGTATGAAACTCTATGGCCGCAAAGCCCCCTTAAAATTTAAAGGGGCCCTGAAACTCTTACTGAACATGGTCAGAAAACGCTGCCAATCGGTAGTCGAGGCTAAACACGCGAGGCAAATATTATACTACAACACGCGGCCTGCAATTCACAATAAATTCTCGAAGTCAGCTAAAAATTGCTCTTTTTTTTTGGCAAATGACACTACAAGCTCAAAAACCACTTGTCTGAGCCATTGGCAGGTTTGAGCAAGGCGCGCTCATTGATTACTGGGACAGCCGCGGGAGGCTGCCACTTGTATACACCATTGAGGTTGAGGCTTTCAAGATCCGCCCAAGTCTTGTCCCTGTCAGGCAGGCTGTTCCAAACGTCGCCTTTATGACGGCCTGCTGTTGGAGGAAACCGGACTGAAGAGCCGATGAAGAGTGCGCGAGGTTTATTTAGATATTTACAGAAAGAGAAATAAAAATAGGAATTGACTCTCCAGCCATTCCCCTGCCGCTTTTTGTCCTCTCGCACTTCCTAGATGCCAGATCTAGGGAAACGGCGAAAAAGGTTTGCATTCAATCAGGTCACCATTGTTGAGGGTAATTTTGCCGGCACCACCCCCCAATATACGCACACACACAACACAAAACATGCATTGTTCCGGCCACGCTGTCGCATCCGGGGATCGTGCTGCCAGA